CGTGAGGTTGTTGCCAGCATAACCTGGCATGCTGACGCATGAACTTCTTTATAGTAGAGTTCCTCTCGTGAGCCACACATACCATTAATATAGAATGACATTTTTGTATCTTTCCACACTGTCAGATTTAATTGGTTATCAATAGTTCACAAACTGGGCATGGCGATGCATGCCTGTTATCCCAGCACTCGGGAGGCTGAGGCAGGAGGATCACTGAGAGTTCCAGGCCAGCCTGAACTGTAGAGCGAGACTGTCTAAAAAACAAAAAATTAGGGGCAGGGGAGATTGCTCAGTGGAATAAGCGCTTCCATGGCAAGCACAAGGGCCTGAGTTTAATCCCCGGTTCCGCAAAAAAAAATTCACAAGCTGTGTCAGTATCAGTAGCTTCTTTGACTACAGATTTTACTTGGAGTGGTGCCCATGGCAACAGCTAGATGTTGTTTCATTTCGATCTTTATTAATACCTAATAATTTTTTTCTTTTTTTGGTGGAACCAGGGATTGAACTCAGGTCCTGTGCTTGCCAGGGAAGCGCTTATACTACTGAGCCATCTCCCCGCCCCCCCAATAATTATCTTAGCACTCAAATCACACAGCACACAGAAAACGATTGATAGGGGGAAATACAACTCCTCATCTGCTAGATGTCCAACATGCTGAGTTCATGTTCTCTAAAATTAAGGAATGAATTCTAGGAACAATGGAGATTAAGAGTCAGAAGAATTTATTGAGAGAAAGAAAACTTCTGCCTGAGAGGGACAAAAGGGGGGCCGAAAAGTGGGCTGCCCACCCACCCTGCTTCTCAGAGGTGTTTTATTGAGCAACGCCATGAGATAAGGCGGGCTTAAGGTGGGACAGAACTGTAATCAATGAGTAAGATTACAAGTGTAGTAGATGCTTAGGTGATATTGATCCATTAGGAAGTCACAGGTAGGTATAAGGTAGGACAAGACTATGGTAAACCAACAAGTTTTACAACAAATATCGTCTTTTGGGTAATACTGATTAAATAGAGATCAAATGGGGAAACAAGGCAGGTAGCAAGTGCACGGGGCAGACAAGGACTTTGCAGGAAGGGGTGGGGTAAGGAGGTCTGGTCTTCCCCCGCCCTCCAGGTGACTGAGGCCTACCTAGAATACCAGTCACTGCTGTGTATCCCTAGGGGAACAGATGGCTGAGTAGCTCTTCCTTTTCCTGATGTCTGGCCTCCAGTGAGTGTGCCTCCAACCAGTTGTCTCGTGCCCTGACCTCTGGAGGGCCCAGCCCCGTCCGACTGCCTGCCTACGATATTTCTGAGTTAGCTGCCTATAATATGGTAATGTTTAGATTATAGAAACAAAAGAATAAAGAGGCCAGAGGATAGATAGATTGATTTTTTCTTTTTTAATGTCTTTGGTATAGGGTCTCACTACATAGCTCAGACTTGTGGTGATTCTCATTTTCAGCCTCCCCAGCACTGGTATTACAGCTGTGTACCACCACACCTGGTTTTGGTGGCCAGTTCAGTGCCCAGTGCAGGGCTGATGTGGCATGTGGTGCTGGGGATCTAAACTGGGTTCCTGCACTTGCCAGGCAGGTACTTAGACCACTGAGCTATCTCCCCAGCCCTATATTGTCTTTTTTTTTTTCCTTCAATTTTACTGTCTTTTTGAGGCAGGGTCTCACTATGTAGCTCAGGCTGGCCTTGCACTCACTTTGTAGCCCAAGCTGGCCTCAACTCACCAGGATCCTCCAGGCATGTACCACCATGCCTGGCCTAGGCCATAGAATTTACAGAGGCTTGGAGAGAGTGAAGGCCGGGCTTCTCTGTGAATACACGAGTGCTTGGAGGCGGTGAGGTATTAGTCACTTAGCAGTGGCGCTGTTGAAGTAAAGGGCCTAGATAGCTTGGAAGTGAGCAGTGCTGAAGGGCAAGAAGGAACTGCCCCAAGCTGAGGCCATTCAGGGGTTTGTTTCCTAGCCTCTGCCCAAGGCCCTGATGTGTGGCAGCGATGGGCCAGTGTGCTGTGGTACATAGCTTAGGCATCTCGGGTTGAGGTGGCTGCCTCAGTTGTTGGCCTGATAGATTTGATAAACTCACTGGCCTGGGTGTCTCTCATGTGATACAATAAGCCCTGTGTCTGCGTGTCTCAAATTTAACTTAGTTTACAGGTAGTTGGTGGTTTGATTTGGTTCAGTTCAGTTCAGTTTGGTTTGATTCTAGGGATTGAATCCAAAGCCTTCACCCTGAACTACATTCTCAGCCCTTTTTTTTTATTCTTTTGAGACAGGATCTCACCATGCTAAGCTGTCCAGGTTGGGCTCAAACTTGTGGTCTTTCTGCCTCATCTTTCCCAGAGTGCTGGGTTTATAAGCATGTGTTACAACCAATATTGTTTTAAAACATTTTTAGGGGCCGGGGAGATAGCTCAGTAGTATAAGCGCTTGCCTGGCAAGTGCAGGGTCCTGAGTTCAATCCCTGGTACTAAAAAAAAAAAAAAAATTGGACCTAAAACATTTTTAATACGAGGTCTTACTAGTGTGTAGTCCTGGCTAGCTTTGAACCAGCTACGTAGCGCAGGCTGGCCTCTAATTTGCAGTCCTCCCACAGCCTCCCGAGCGCTGGGATCACATGCACGCGCCGCCACACCCACCAGCTGATCTTTCATTAGCACAAATCCAAACCTTAAGGGTGTGCTGTGTACATGGTAGATGGCAAGAAGCAAGGTCGTTCCATCTTAGCATCTGTACCCGAAATGGGAGTACTCGGGGCCAGCTGTGGCTGCAGAGCCGTGCTCTGCACTCTGAGTGAAGAACAGTAATAGAGCATAGCAAACAACAGACCCGGAGAAGCATTTATTGTCAGTGAGCACATGCTCTGCACATAATTAGACAACTGGCAGCACAGCAGTTTGTCTACACCAACATCACCACGAGCATGTGAGAAACACTGCACTGTGATATGATGACGTCATTTGGCAGGAAGGTCCTTTATCCTATAGGACCACTTTTATGTTGACAAACATGTACACATCATGACTGTTTCTAGAAAGAGTAGATTTTCATGGATAGCAACCTGGGATTTCAAATTTTTCTTCTAGCCTAGCATCAGAATTGTCTATTCTTTTCTCCTCCCCCACCCCCACCCCACCCCCTTTTTTTTTAGGAGACAGGGTCTCGCTCTGTTGCCCAGCGTGGCCTCTAAGGCCCAGGCTCACAGTCCTCCTGCTGCAGCCTCACAAGTAGCAGGGATCACAGATACATGTCGATGTGCATGCTGTTTGCAGGGCAGTCAGATCATTTTCTTGAGAGGCTTAGACTTGGGGAGAAGGGGCTGAGACACTGAAGGTGATGAGATCTGCCATCTTGGCAGGGCTGGATCTCTGGTTTTGCCATTGTGGAAAGGGACCCTTTAAATCTTTTGTTCTTTATAGATTTATACTTCTCCCTCACTTCAAAAGCTATCAAATATTGTACTGCTTAGAGACAACCATTTATACAGTTTATGAGTATTCCACTAAAGAAAAAAAAAAAGGAAAGTGAGTGTGATGGTGCATGCCTGAAATCTAAGCACCCTGGGAGGGTGAGGTGGGGGATTCCAGTTTGGAGCCCAGCCTGGGCAACCTGTGACTGAGCAAAACCCTGTCTTAAAATGTAAAAAGGGATGGCGATGTAGCTCACTGTACAGGCCCTGGGTTCAAGCCACACAAGGAGTTTCACTTCAATCTCTTGTTACTCGGCTTATTTTCTTACAGCAGAAGGTGATCTACTACCTCTGCATTTTACTGAAGGATCCCCTGGAACCACACAATGTCTCTCAAGTAGTCCCTGTATTCCAGGTGAGCACAGAGCGGTTTTCCTTCCCCCTGAAGTCCTGTCTTTTTCTCTTTCTGCATATTCAGTGCTATTTATGTTCAGTAGAAACAGACTGTTCTCAGAGTATCTGAAGATACCTGACAGCTAATTTTAGTGGGAATTAGGATTTTAGTGGGGTTTTTTTGTTTTTTGGTTTTTTTTTGGTGGTACCAGGGACAGAACTCAGGACCTTGCATTTGCCAGGCAAGCACTTATTCCACTGAGCTATCTCCCCAGCCCAAGATTTTAGTTATTTCAACCTATCTCCAAGGAAAACATGAGTTTTTGAAAATACTAGGAATTTAGCTTGTATGTGGTATACACCTGTAATATCTGTATTCTGGAATCCTGAGGAAGGAAAGTTCAAAGTTCAAGCCTAATTTGGGCACCATAGCAACTTAATGAGACCTTGTCTCAAAATTAAAAAAATAAGGGCCAAGTTGTGTGTTCAGTGCACAGGCCCTGGGCTCAACCCAAGTACCACAGTTAATCAACAGAAATTAGGAATTCGTGTAAATTGTAGAGAAGTCAAATATTCAATAATTTCTGCCTACAGTTTCTTAACAAAGCACTATTCATGTGCTTTGACTGTCTCAGTTTACAACTTCACACAGAAGTTAACAAAGTACATATGCTAGTACATATTTTGTGTGTTACGCTTTCTTTTCGTGGTACTGGGATTGACCCAACAGCCTTAGCACTGAGCTATATTCCTAGCCATTTTTTGTTTTTGAGAAAATCTTGCTAAACTGCTACCCAGGCTAGGCTTAAACTTGTGACCCACCTGCCTCATCCTCCTGAGCCCTGGGATTACAGGTACGCACTGCCATGCTTGGCTGTGTCTTTTAAAAATCACTAACATGAATCCTTTTACAAAGCCATTATGCAGTGCCAGCCTTTGGTCATTTTTTGCCAAAGCCAGAGCCCACTCCTTAAGTCATATCCGGGTTATTTTGTTTTGCTCCCACAAAAACCATACAGATCTGCTTATAATAATTACTTCAGGGGCTGGGGAGATGGCTCAGTGGAATAAGTGCTTCCCTGGCAAGCACAAGGGCTTGAGTTCAATCCCTGGTTCTGCCAAAAAAAAAAAAAAAAAAAAGCAAACTAAAAAAAAATAATTTTCATAGGTAACTGTTATTTATATGTAGTGAGCCTTACCATACTGCCTCTTCTTTTTCACAAAAGTTTTAAGACAGCTGAACTAAAAATAGTTCTTTTGTATTATAGTTAAGATTTTATTAAACCCTACAGTTTTATAGATTTTTAGTGTTTAAGACTGGACAGCTGGAATTTGTACTTTCCTGTTATTTTCTATGCATAGCCTCTGCTGTGTAGATGAAGGCATTTTCGAGTTATTAAATTTATGTCTCTGTAAGTGACAAGAGTTTCGTATTTCCTTACAGGTACCACTCATTTCCTCTTACTCTAAATTATCTTCTCAATTAGTCAAGTATAATCTAGATCCTGATGCATTTGTAACAATTCTTCATATATTAAGCAGCAAACTTATTAAATATGCTTTTTACATTTAGTTCTATTCTGTCTTTTTAATTTCAGTTGCATTACATTTTGCAGTACAAAATATTTTTCAGAGTGTGTCTGTTAAGCTGCGTTATCTCGCCTCTGAGGTCTGCTTTGTAACTTGGAGCCTCTCTATAAGGCAGTGTCCTTGTTCTTTTTGCCTTCATAAAATTTAGCCAGATTAAAAAGCTGTCCTCTGTGACTCCCCTTGCACACTTCAAGGATGGGCTGTGGGTGTGGGGAGAGGCCCCCGGGCTCTGGGGCTGCTTAGCCTTGAGGTGGCCGAGGTGAGGGCACACATGGACGCAGCACCACCAAGCGTCCACTCACCTCAACTCTGCGCTTCTCCCCTTTGGAATCCAGAGTGCCAAGCCCCGGCTGGACTGCTTGATTCATGTATACAAGAGCTGCCAGGAGGTCCTGGCGCATCAGAAAGCCACATCCACAAGGCCATGAGTTCCCGGCACTCAGAAGGCCGGTGCTATCCCCCAGGGACATGGCTCCCGGGCTGCGCTGCCTGGATTGCTCCCACCGCAGCCACCAGGTGGACACAGCCCTAGACCAGAACGGATGCTGCGGATCTCAGATCACCACACACCAGGTGACTGGAATTCTGACTCGAAGTGCTTCTGTACTGTCATGTTCCTCTTGTAAGGTTTTGCCTACTTTACGGAACAAGGACCACCTGAAGAATTTTGACACAGTATCCAAGGTAACATCAGTCTTGCCAGGCATGGTGGCGCACATCTGAATCCCTGCACTCATGAGGCAGAGGCAGGAGATCACTGAAAATTTGAGACCAGGCTGAGCTACAAAATGAGTTCAAGGCCAGCCTGACATACACAGTGAAATGCATTCTTTAAAAGACAAAAAAAGGTAATATCAGCTAAGAGCACTTTGTGAAATTCCTAAGCATAAATTTACTTTATGTTGAGATTACACTGGGAAGCAAACAGCAGAGGTTCAGAAAAAGCTGTAATTTCCATCTGCATAGTACCCATGTACAGAAGTTACGGAAAAACGTCAAGCTCTTCAGGTACAGGTTAGGAGGATAAATATCCTACAAAGACTATTCTGTTAGCTCCTGTGTTCCGCACCAACTTAACCCATCATGACTCTGTAAATAAAAAACTCATTCTAAAACATTCACAGTAATTGGTTCACAGACCGCACTTTTTATTGACAAATGTGGTCATGGCATTTCAGTCGCTGCTACTTTTCTGTTAACTCAGCATTTTCTATCCTTCAAGACACCTTTACCAAGAGCAGGGAGGTCATCTCAGACAGATTGGACTGAGGCTTCCCGACTCGAGACTGTCATGTTAAAGGAGGATGTACATGTTGGAAGCTTCTATTTCTAAGGCATTTTATTTTGTATAAAATTAATAAACTAAAAGAAGGTCCTGAAGGGTCAGGAAGGAGAGATGGTAAATAGTTTGACCCCACAATTCAGTATGAACACAGCTCCACTGTTTGGTTTTTGTTTGTTTTTGGTACCAGGAATCAAACTCAGGACCCTGCGCTTGCCAGGCATGCGCTGTGCCACTGAGCTATCTCCCTGTCCTATAGCTCTACTCTTACTTTCTTTGGAACCCTACTTCCAAAAACCTTCCTAGGTAGGTAATATATCTACTGGCCTAAGAGACGCTTGGGATATGGAACCAGAGCTATAATCTCTGCTTTTACCCCTAGAGCCTGTGGTACTTGTATGTCTTGTTTGAGGTAGAAATGTCCTGGCTAGACCCCCAGATCCTGGAAGAAGGCAGGAAGAAAACTGGCTGTAAGCTTCCTGCCCTGCGAAGTCGGGTTCACCTACAGGAGGCCGAGGCTGCGCCTCTCCCCATCCTGTTCACGGTTCAAGGGCAGGACAGCAGCTGAGGTGTTCAGATGGGCTGGGCCCAGCCACGCAGATTGTGCAGTGTGCCGCACACACACGTTGTTGAGCTAAAGGCTTGGTTTGTCAGTGCTCCTGCTAAACCACAGTTTTCGGCACTACACTAATGACAAGGCTGCCCTAAAGCTACGAAATAAAAATCAAGTTTCTTAGATGTTGGAAAATCAGAGTATGAACTCTTTCGTTGGCCAGGGGGGGTAAATATCACATTCCCCACACTCAATCAGAACACCGGAGTTGAGGAACATCATGATGTTCTCAAGCAGGCAAAAGGTGAAAAAGTTTGTCTACGTCTTTCATGGGGTACTCAGGCTGGGGACGATGTCACACACACCTGTGCACCCAGCTGGTTCCCAGGTCACCAGAAGCCTCGAGGAGCCTGCCCGGCTGAGGGAGGTGGCCTGGGGTCGTCTTCTGTGTTCCTGACTCACCCTCACTAGCCTCGTAGAGCAGTGGAGGGCATTTGCTTTGGCTCTGAGAGAGCCAGGAGACATCGGCCACCCTGTCCTGCAGCAGGGGAGCACAGACTTCCCAGAGCCCTGTCCGAGCATGAAAGCGAGGCAGGGAGAAGCCGGATTGCACCTGTCTGTTCTTGCTTGGACAGTGCTTCTGGGGTCAGCTTCCAGTCTAGTGTGAGGGAGAGCCTGAATGTGAGCAGGCAGAGTTGTGCCTTGGGGACTGAAGCTACTGTCCCCAAGGGCCACTGCAGCAGCCATCCCCAGTAAAGGGGAAGAATTATTCCATCCCCTTTCTCCAGCCCTGCCCACCTTTCCCATGTAGGAAAAGAAGTCCGGTTTTAGTGAGTGCTACACTTTTGTCAGAGTTGTCCTGTTCCGTATAGAGATACGCAGGAAACTTCAAGTATAAATCCCCACATAAGGATCATATACAATATAAAAAATTAAAAAATCTCACTTCCCCTGAGACTATCAGTGCAAAAAGCCTCAAGTATAGCACTGGAGCCCTCGGGATCAGTGGACCGTCCCTGTCTGTGTCTAGGATCAGGTACCATTCAGTGTCAGTATTTTTGTTTAAAAAAAAAAAGGCAGAGTGGTTCTTACACTGGGTCTGAATCCACGAAGGTTGGGCCCTGATACACCACACCATGCCTGGAGAGTAGAGGTGGCAGTGGAGGGCTGTCAGAACCATCACAGTAGTACGAAACCCTAGGATATAAATCTAATCCTAGAGGCACCAGTGCTGGTGGGGAAAGGTAACAGAAACATTCACAGCAATGCTGGCCTCTTGGTGGCACAGGAAACAGAAGCACACTGTCATCCGTCCAGCTCCCTCGGCCGGCGTGCAGCAGGCAGCTTGGCAGGCGAGCGGCGTGCAGTTGGAGAGCAGTGGTTCATGTAGCTGGCCATGATGAAGGTGGCCTCTGCAATCTAAGGAGGGCCAAGAACTGAACTAGCCCCGCCTTGCTGGCTGGCTTCCTACTGTTACTCTGGCTACATCACCTTCCTAAGCTTTGCTTCCCACTTGGGAGACAACATCCAGGGGGAATCACTGCTGCGAGGCTCAGGGGCCCAGTGGAATGAGCCCACTGGTCTGGAGAGCCAAGCTGAACAGGGAAATAGAAGGCCAGTGTCTGCTCATTGTCCCTGCAGCTGGCAGGAGAACCTCAGCAGGGGGTCCTGCATGTTCTCCCTTGGGAGGAGTGTAGAAAACTCCAGCTTCAGCAGAAGCTGCGCCTAAGATGAGAGCACCTTACCAGGGACGCTGCCCTGCCTGGGGCCTGCAGCAGGGAGGGCGGGCAGGTGGGCACTGACCAGGCCTGCACAGCACTGGGCTCTGCAGAGTTGCAAGGCGCAGAGGTGTGGCTGGCTTGCAGTTTACTCCCAGCACCCCTTCCCTACCAGTCCAGCAGTGACCATGAAATGCAGCGCTCCCTGAATCCTCTTGAGTGCTGACACACATAAGGCCGAAACCTGGACCAGGCCACTGGCACAATGGCCATTCTGGAGTCCCATCCTGACCTGTTTCCTCTCTGAGCCCTATGCTCACTTCTCCTATCACAGCAGTGGTCAGACTCACCTTGGGAGCAGCCATTCTGAAGATGAGCTTGTCGATGTGGCCTTTGCCAGAGCTCTGGTCTGGAACGGATCTGATCACAAGCATGAAGTCATCCCTGTAGCCACCAAAGGTTGTCACTGAAGAGTAGGGGTAAGTGACGCGCACTTGCTGTGGAAAGGAGCCGGTGAGTTCCAGGGAAACTGCGCCCATCTCTTCTAGGCACAGGTAGCCGTAGCCCAGAAGGGAGAACCCCGAAGTGGCCATGACTTAGGGATCTAGATCTTAAATATGTACAAGTTGCCTTTAGACTGGAGTTGAGCACTGCATGGGCAGGGGTGTCACCTGGCTCAGGCCTCTGAGTCCAGGGAGAAGATGATACAGAGCTCAGAAGGAAGCAGGTCGGAACCAACCCGGCCCTCCCGTACCATGGTGTGGCGGTCCAGGATGCTGACTCCATCTTCATTGATGGCAATCCACACCAGAGTGTTCTCCTTGGACGACGATGGGGCAGGCTGCAGAAACAAGAGGCTGTCAGATGCAGCCACAGAGATTCTGAACTGTGTGTCCTTCCTGAGGATGGAGGTACATCCTGGGACCTGCTAAGCACTGACTTTCAACCACCTCACCTTGGGAGACACCAAAAATGGCACTTGGACAGCAAACAACAAATGGGCTGGCCTTGCGGCTCTGTCTGCCTACTGACCACCCCAAAGGTGAGGCAATCCTGTCCTGTTGGGTGGAGAGCCAAGCACTGCAGAATAGACACCTCCCCCAGGACTCTGCTCTCTGCGTGGGGAATAGGATGCTTCCAGCTCTCACAAACAGTAGTTCACCCAGTCTTTCTTCCTAGGGGCTGTGAGAAAAATAAAAATCAAAAAGGCAATTTCATGGACTTTGGGCTCTACCAGTGAGTTTGTGACTATATGATGGGCCTTTCATGCATGTTTTCACTGCCGTGGCTATAGGAGGGTAATTCAGGGCCAGGGAGATAGCTCAGCGGTGTAAGCACCTGCCTGGCAAGTGCAAGGTCTGGAGTTCGATCCCTACCAAAAAAGGAGAGTAATTCAGAGGCGATCTCTCTCTTACCCAGAATGCCAGAGGGGTTGGCACCTTGCACAAAGCTTTTCCTAACCTTCCCAACTGGGCCTCCATTAGGTGCCTTTGTAACACCTCTACTTGTCCTTCATAGTACTCGTGACCTCAGTACGTGGATAGAGAGAAAAACTAGGTGTGTGACTAGTTTGTATCTCCCACCACATGGGCGCTTCATGAAGGCCACGACTGTCTGATTTGTCCACTTTTTACAACCTGAAACAATTACCCTAGACTTAGGCGCTCAACAACTATCTGTTGGAATGAGTGATGTCCATTCTCTGATCTGAAGCTTCTGTGAACGTCCTAATAGTCACCTTATGTGGAGGATCACCTGGGTGACTCTCCCTGAAAGAAAAGCAGTTGTCTGCATTTTGGCTGTGCCTGACTCTATATCCATGCATTAATAGGCACAGAGCTGGCTAGGACTGTTCCTTATCCTTTCAACTGGCTTTGAGCAACGCACATGGGTCTAGCAGAGGTGCTGGTGGTAGTCTTTGAAGATGGCCCTGGTGTTTCCCCAATAACCCCCACCTGCTGCTCGTTAACATGAGCTGACGAAGAGTCAAGGCGCCACACTGTCAGCTAGGATCAAGCCTTGAGCTAGAGGCTATGACTTCCTGGGGCTTGAAAGATTACACATCAGAGCTGAAGCACCAGACTTCAAAACATTAGACACTATCTCAATAGCATAATGCAAATTACTTTTTCTGCATATCCTTCTCTCTGCATATCGCAGAGGTAAATGCAGGCCTCCTGCCTAGCCCAGCTCACAGCACTCACCTACTTCCTGCTATTATGTCATTCATCCTCAAGCCATTTCTCCTTCATGACTGAATAAAACCCAGGTCTGGCCCTGGGTCGAGGCCTTTGTTCCAGATAGCATCACCAGGGCTGGAATTAGGACCCCCTGGCTCCCCATAATTATAAATATGCTTTAGTGTCTTTATTTTCGCCGTGGGTTGCACCGCGAGTGGTAGATTGGAATTAACTTGGTGAGATTCCAATAATGCATCTTGGGGATTACAAATATAAACTTCTTGGACTGAGATGAGGACCAAAAAGGGCTCACTACAAGCTGTGTGATTATAGTGCCTGATCACTGGACGATGGCTGTGGCTACCTATTAAGTTCAGGCACACTGGACATCTGGTGAGGAAAGTTCCAGCTGAAATTACTTGGGCCTCCTGTCCTTCATGCAGAGATGAAATTAACTCTTGCTTGAGTCCTTGTAATCTCCCTGTATTCATCGCTAAGCCAGTAGAGATGTATTTGTTTAGGTTCTACATTGTTCTTTCAAACTTTACAAAAACAGCGTTAGGGTATTATTTTCAAATCTGTGTGTGAATGAGTTGACGCTATCTCTTCTTTCCGGAATAACAGCACTGAGAAGTCAATAAAGGAACAAGGGTAAGCAATGAATCAATCACACCTCGCAGGAGAAAGCTAGAAATGGGTGGGAGGATGGTGACCCCTAGCGGTGGTTAGTGGAGGTGTGGGCTGCAGGATTGGCTCCCAGATGACCAGATGGGGAAGGCAGCTCCAGAAAAAAACCTATGCAAGGCCTTCCCAAGGGTGTTGGCTGCTCCTTTCCGTGGCACTTACCTGAGCAGCAAAGAGCTTGGCACCAAACAGAGGCCACTTCCGGGCTACGGTCAGGTAGGTGCGAGTGTACTCAGCCAAGGAACGGCCCTGCAGTGACGCCCACCTCATGGCCAGCATATTTGCCAGGTGCCTGGTTTGGGTGAGTGGAGAGAAATGACGCCAGTCAGGGGCCAGCTTGTCTTCACTGAGGCCTCCCCAAGGTGACTCCCCACAAAGCCATGCAGCTCCCTACCTCAGCTGTTCGGGAGGGGCACCAAGCCTGTAGTGTCTCGGATAGAACCTGTCTAGGACCTGCTGGAGGAGATGCTGGGCTTTGGAGGGCGGAGTGCCCCCGGGGCCTGGTAGGACAGGCTTCTCCATGTCCCCATATTCTATCTGCAGGAGAGCACATGAGAAGATGTCAAGAACCTGCATGGGGCCTGCTGTGTGCTTAGGGGAACTAAACCACCTGTGTTTCCCTGGTGGGCTGTAAAAGGACAGTGAGAAACCCCTGTGAACAAAGCCTTTCACTCCAGGCACTGGAGAAGCGGCCACAGGGCCCTGGAACTCGCGTTTGGTAGCCGAGTGCCTTATTCAAAGACAGTTAGTGGCAGATGAAGGAAAGCAACGTGGAAGGCTTGTTTCCAATCCAAAAGATGGGCTGTACACAGGTGCTATGGACCAGGTGCTACTGGGCAGCAGCACTTGGAGCCCTACACTTCGGACACAGCCCTGCCATTTCCTAGCTCGGTGAACTTCAATTTCCTCATTTATGGGAGGGCGAGAACTGCACGGGATATGCATCTAAATGGCTTAGCACCGGCTCTGTGGCAGTGTTCATCCTAATGTTTATAGTTGTAAGGCTCAACGGTTATTCCCCACCCACTTCAGGATCTTACCACGAAAGTATCCCAGCCACCTCTGGCCAGATGGCCTCCTAGAGCTAAGGAAGCATTCAAGCCTAAATGCGTTCTTTTTAATCCTCCCGATCAACTTGGATGGCTTATGAATTTCAGCACAGATACCATGGGATATACACGAGCCAAGTATCACACTTAGCACAACCCCGCGGAGTGCAGGCAGCTAGGGAAGGGCTTGTCCCTTAGCTGTGCAGAGAGCACATGCGTGGACAGACCTGGCCAAGATCATACACTGCAAAGCAGCCAGGACTCCGCCCATCCCTTGGATTTGCAGTGCAGCCCTCCCAGCTAGCCTGGGTCTGCTGCAGGTGAGAAACTGGGCTGCGTGGTCTGCTGCCGGCCATGCCAGACCTCCCCGGTGCCTCTGCTGTGCAGCATCGCCCGTCTACGTGGTGTCACACCCAGAAGCCCCAGGCGGCACACTGACCCTCTGGCTTCCGTACCTGGGCCATCAGGCCAGCCATCTCCAAGGCCAGCTCCTTGCTGACTGGAAACCTCCCTGCCACTATTTCTCCATTGGTTTGATAGGCGAGCAGCAGCCGCTCCCGCTCCGTCTCCCCTTTGACCTGACTCCGAAAGTGCAGCCTGCAGGGACAGAATGAGAAGCCAGGTCTCAGCTGGGACCCCAAGGAGGGTGAAGCTTCCTCCCGACCTGTTCCCCCTCCCCTATTCCCGTACCCTCCTCTCCGCCCCTCTTGCCCTCTTCATGGATCTGTTTATCTTGATTTCCAAAGGAGAAAACACCCTTCAGACTGTGTGAGACTATTTTCTGTTGCCCCAGAAAGCTGTGATCAAGTATGATGTGGAGCACATGCAAAGCCACACGGACGGAATGCTTTCAGCAAGCAGCACGTGGGTAATTCTGAAAGCCACTAGACTTGCAGGTTTGGAAGGGAAACACAGTACACAGAACCAGATGAGTTACGATTCCAGGAGACCAAGGAAAGGACTTTCCTGGAGACACTGGAATAGAATTTTCTTAAACTGATAGAAAGTCAGGATGTCTACTTATGTATTTCCTGGAAGTGGGAGCGGAGCTATTTATTCTTCAGCCTTAAAATACCTGGTACTCATATAAAACTGCATTTCTATAATGTAACATCTGCAGCCATCCCAGGAAGTTGGCATTTTTCTGGCGTGTGTGCGTGCGTGTGTGTGTGTGTGTGTCTGTATGTGTGTATATGTGTGCACACACGCAGTGTGAGGAAAACTGCAAGCTTGGGCCCAGCTAATGGCCGCCTGGCAGGGTTCTACCTGTGGGTCATTTTCTGCCTGTCCCCAAAAGGCCACCCCGTTGAGGAGGTGTTGCACTGGCACCCAGGGGCACCTCACGCAGCATGCAGGACCTGTTCTTGTACGTCAGCTTCACGATGCGTGTTCCCCCCTCAGACTTCCCAGGGTGAAGCTCCTTCAAGGCTTGTTCCCACTTGGAGATGGCGTCACAGATCTTAAAGAGGCAAAAGAGGAACATAAGAAAAGCCCCTCATGAGCACAGTGATATCCAGCCAAGACTGGGCCAAGGAGGGGCTACAGGAGCTGCCGCTCAACAGGAGCCGCCTTGTAGGGCCTCCCGCTGCCAGCACTGCAGTCCCTGGGACCCACAAGCAAGGACATGGAGGGCAGCCGGGGATGGTGCAAGGGCAGCTCTCCCACCAGCCCTGACAGGGAAGGGACCTCCCTGGGGCGAGGCAGGCTCCAGTCAAAGCACACAGCTACCTAAGTCCACTTCCACTCCATCAACCTCAATCTCCTCTTCATGCACAAAGGTCTATCATGTAACAAAACTGTACAGATGCCTGAACAGTTATGAAGGTGTGCGGCAGTTTTTAGACAATGATAGAAGACTAGATGCCTTTCTTCTGCTGTAAAGGAAGGACACAGGGCCAGCCAAATAGCTCAGCAGATTAAAGCGCCTGCTTAGGCAGATGCAGTGGCCAGGCTTGGATCCCCAGCATGCTGTGCCGGCCCCACCCCTGGGGCACACTGAGAAGGCAACTGAGGCTGGACATGGTGGCACATGCTTGTAATCCCAGCTCTTTGGGAGGCTGAACACAGGAGAATCACTGAGTCTGATCTATGTAGTGAGATCCTGTAGACTTTGCAGACCCTTACTAAAATACAAAAAAAGGAAAAAAAAAAAAAAAAGGGCAAGAGCCAAATAATACTGCCAAATGGAGTAGCGCGTTCCCACAAACCCTGTACACCAGGGCACTTCAGACGTACTGTTGCAAGGACCTGCCTCCTTGAAACGGGATTGGACCTAGAAGCAAGTCAGAGGCCCTACAGACAGAGTGAAAGGGTGCTAACACACCACACCACACCCAGTGGGGCCAGGCACAGAACTGTCCACCTTTGTAGGGGCAGATAAAACTGGTGACAGGTTTGATGGGGCCTCCCTGGCCCTACACCCAGCTGGGAAGAGGCTCTTCCTCTGGACACTACGTGGCCACTCGAGGGAGACAGGCTGTGGGGATTTTGTGTATATGCAGCTTTTCTCTGCCTGTATAGATAGTTGGGAGGACAGCACAATCATGCTAGTTGTCCACCTTTGGGCTCAGCACCAAAGTGACCGCTGAGCCGTCAGGACTACACTAGATGGGCTCTGTGCCCACCACAATATCCTTGGGCAGTGGGGGAGCTATCACCTTGACACTCCCCTGCAGACAGTGTTCCAGGTCCCTGCCGGAAGGGTCATCTGTGAAGAGGGCAAAACCAGAGTGGGATGACTTCCTCATGCCTGTCTCCTGGTTCAGCCGCTGGAGGAACTCGTCAACTGTGGAGGAGCCATCAAAACCAACCACCTGTGGAAAGAGGCATTCTCACCCAGACTGAACTTCCGGGGAGCTCGCTAGGGCTCGTGGAGGGGTCTCGGTCCCATAGGTGCAAAGGAGCAAGGGAAACTGATATACCAAAGTGGGCCTCATATTCCTCGGCAGAGGCTCGCTCCTGCCGTTGTCCCTCTTTCGGAGACTCTGGCTCCCACCACTCTTTCGTTCAGGTCTCAGCTTCTGTTCTAAGCATTGAGTTCCACAGATCTATTTTCAAGCACTTGGGTGCTTTAAGCTTTTCTGTCCCTCTACCCTGGCTCTGACGACCCCATTCCCATGCCGAATCCTAGACGCCTTCCTTTTGTTGCTGGGCCCATTCCGGGGGCTAAGCCCCCACTGGCCCAGCCGGCCCTCACCTGGTACGTCCCGTTGGCAAAGTGCACAGGGATGCTGAAGGGCAGGGAGTGGTGGAAGGGGTTTCGCAGCAAGATGGACACCACTTCCATGTGTGATGGCCTGGCCTCCCGCTCCCCCGTCTGTAGGGTCCGCTCCACAGCCCGCTGGCAGTAGGTGGCATACTGGCCGGTTTCATTGCTAAAAAGACAGGGAAAAGAAGAAGGGAGGCAGAACTCTGCTCATCGCTGGCTCTGGCATCTGGGAGGCCTTCCCAGACTTAGCCAGGACGAGTGCAGCTGGTCTGGGCGCTGTCAGCCAGGCCTGTGTGTGCCAGGTTACTGCAAGGTGTCTTCTTGTAGAATCCAGAAGACTGTGGCAACAAAGCAAATGTTCAGGGATAATTTGGGAGCAATGAGGCTCACGAGCCCCATAAACCACCCCCAGACACAGGTGGCGTACACAGAAGCCGAGGCTGCCCAGACCTGTAGGAATCCCTTTGTTTTCACAATAGTGGGCGGAGCAATGCCAAGAGAATCTCAGAGGGCAGACAAGATTTGCTCCCCTGGTCTCCCCTTAGCTCCCCTTTTAAATCACGCCAGCTAGCAGTGCTGCAGTGACAGGGGAACGCGGCCGCCTACCTGGGATCTGCATGGCGCTGGAGCTGCTGTTTGATGTACCACAGGAAGTGATGCTGAGGCAGGAAAAGTGGAGCACACAGGGCCAGGAGCTGCCAGCACTGCCGGGGACACGGGGTAAGTGCCGGGTATGCCGTGCGCCTGCCCACCCGCCTGCCCACCCACACAGTCCTCGGCTACGGGGCCTGCCATACTCCTCCCTCACTCCGCGGCCCAGCCCACGAGCCCAGGACAAAGCCATCCCCTCAATGGTGACTGCAGTGTGACAGCATCCAGCTGGGCAGCCTGGAGCGGGGAGGCTGGCCCTGGCAGGGTCCCTGTGCCACTGTGCCATGCCCACCTGCATAAGGGCATACTTCTGAGGAGGGCGGCAGCTGGTCTGCTTCATGAGCTGGCAGTAGATCTCACTCTGCAGCTCGGGGTGGACCAGACAGACCTGCAGCACAGTCTGTGCCAGGGACACGTGGTAATCCACCGAGGCTGCCTCCACAGGCACGTTGATGAAGAGCTGGCAGGACTGGAAGGAGCACGGCATTAGGCACAGGAAGGGACAACCCTTGGCACTGTCCTCATGGTGCAGTGCCATCTTGGACCCCAAACAGAGCCTGAAGGCAGGCTCAAGCCCACAAGGGACAGCCCCTTGTAACTGGGAACACTACCATTTCCATGGCTTTTCACTGGGACCACTTTCAGATACAATCTTTCCATTATGTAAGCAAGACATAAGCTTGTTTATATAAGCAAATACATTTTTTAAAAAATAGGAAATTCATGTGGCACAAAAAGAACAGTCTCAAATAGGTCATAATCTGCATCCCCAAAGCAATGGGAGCCTGGCCTTCTCTGCTAGCTATACGAGGCAGCAGCCCCCAGGGAGCAATTTCCCTGCCATTTCCTGACATCCCAGTCTCCTCCCTGCTGTAGAAGGTTGCGGTCTGCCATAGAGGAAGCTGTGGAGATCCCATGGGGCTCTCTGCCTCCCTCTCCTCATCCCTCTGTGAGAAACCCCCAACCCCAAGGGTGGTCTCCATGCACGTTTCACCCTGAGGGGCTTAGGCTGCCCAGGCAGAGCCTGGGCCCATGGGCTCCACTCCCACTTTACCTTGAAGAGCTTGAGGGCCTCTGTCTGCAGGGCCTCTGAGGGCAGGGTGGTAAGGGAGGTGTACAGCCCGTCCTTGCTGTAGCACAGAATGGGGTGCTTCCAGAGTGGGGAGTCTGCACAACACCAAAGAGCAACAACAGTGGTTACCGCATACAGAACTCGCCTCCCCCATCCCCACCCGGACTTTCATTTGTGGGGAAGCTAGTGGCTGAGGCTTAGGGCTGTGCTGGGCTCGTCACCCACAGAGCACAGCACGCACAGCTGGGCGTGGGGTCTGCACATGCAGGAGCACCGCTGCACAGGAAGGCGGCCACCACTCTGCTGTGGTGCTGCAGGTGGGGTGAGTGGGCAGGTCGCAGGAGTGCCTGAGTGCATGCACAGGGGAGAGGCCTGGTCTTCACAGGGTCAGCCCAGGCTGCAGCATGGGGCTGCAACAGAGAAGCGCACAGCGGAAGTAAAGCGGTGCGTGGTAAGGGCCGCTGGCTTAGCTGCCGAAGAGCCTGAGAACCAGCGGAAAAATGTAGACCCCCAAATACTCAAGGTAACCTGACCCAAGCTCAGGCTTCACTTACTGATTAATGAACTCTTAACTACAGATTAACCAGCTACCTACTTCCTTCCATCCTCTCCGTGGCCAGCAAACAGCACGGCAAAACCAGGTCTCTGGAGCACCTGGGTCCCTCACAGAATGGCTACTGCGGCATGTGCCAGAGACCAACAGGCCCCGGAGTGTGTGTTGGGCTCTCTCCTTTGAGATGTGTTTAACACAGCTTGGGAGCCAGCAGTGCACCCTGAGGGCTCCTGACCACAGTTGGCACCCAGCCACCACCCTGCAACCTACATGGTGAGGGCCTCCCTCGCCTTACCTGGGTCTCCTCCCTCACCATCCATCAGTTTCCCAATGAGCTGCTCGTAGGCGGTGCCCACCGTGACACTGCTGCCTCCCGCAGCCACTGTGAGGTGGTAAAGCCATGTATCCTGGAAGAGGGTAAAAGCCTCCTAAATGTGGGTAGGGTAGGAAGAGCAGGGGGCCAGACAGCCAAGGGGCTCCCCACGGTGGGGGCCCACTGGTCTGGTGGCAGGAGGCAAGGCCACCAGCCTCTGAAGGGAGACTCAAGAGCAGATGTCTGCAGCTGTATGTCATGGCAGGAAAGGACAAGTGCGGTTCAGAGAATATTAAATGCTGCAGTGTCCTGAGTGTGGGGAAGCTCAGGACACTAGCTCGGGGAAGGAGAAGGGAAAGGCAGTGGGCAGCCCAAGCGAGGCCACCACCCTTACCTTCTCTTGCTTGCTGCTGAGGAGCAGGTAGGTTGGGCTGCGGCCCGGTGGCTGGATCACCAGTGTGCAGGGCGAGGAAGGCCAGCGGCCGGCAGCTGCCTCGCAGTCCTCATCTGCCTCGCAGTCCTCGTCTACTTCCCCAATGCGCGCATCTTGCACAGGCAAACAGCCCAGGGGGCGCTGCACACCCGAGCCAGCAGTGAGCACTGGGGTGGGACACAGCCCCGCCCAAGCTCTCCTGGGAGCACAGTGACGTGGAGCTGGGGGCACTGAGCACACAGACCTTGTCCTCGGGGCTCCGGTAGTAGTAGAAGGTTTTCCCGACAAGAGCACACCAGACCAGCTTGGAGTGGCCGTGCTTCACCTGTAGGACAGAAATGAACCAACTGTGTCGGAACCAGGTGTCCCGGAAATGAATCCAGGGCTGGCAAAGAAAAGTCAGGGAGGTGGGCCAACTCATGGCAGAGGCGCCACGCAGATTCCCTGGGAGCACAGCAGTGCCACCCCTGGGCTATGAACCAGCCTGGCCTGAGCCCTACAGGGTTGGGGGGACCCAGAAAGTCAAAGGTCTCCTCCAGCAATACAGACACCAGAAGGCCTTGCTAGCTGTAGAGGCAGAGCCGAGGGATCGCACAAGGCAGCAAACGGAGGCAGCACCCAGGGCCCCCGGAACCAGAGACCATGAGGGAGCAGACACTGCACACAGGCAGGGGGGCTGACGCCAGCAGAAGAGGGGACCCGGGCAAGGGGCGGAGGGGTGGGCTGTGGGTACTGCTTCAGTGCTGAGGGCATTTGGTCTCCTTCGGGGGGGGGGGGGTGTCAATAAATGTTTCTCTGCCCTCTGCAGCCAGAAGAGCCCCAGCTAAAACGTCTTTTGGGCAGGCCCAGGATACTCTAACTCTGAAGGGCCAGCCACACCCCTCCCTCAGGCCCCTTCTCCCCACTGTTAATCCTGAGATGTGGCAGGTGCACAGGTAACCCTCAATGTCCACAGCATGGGTAAAACACTTCCCTCTGATCTTTTCTTTTTTTAACTAAGTTTATCCCTGGGCATGGTGGTGCAGCCTATAATCCCATCGATGGGGAGGCTGAAAACACAAGGATCACTACAAGTCGGAGCTGCATAGTGAGACCTTGTACCAAATACATAATAACAATAATAAAATTTAATTAAGTTTACTGATGGTGCATGACTTTAATCCCAGCACTTGGGAGGCTGAGGCAGGAAAATTGCTAATGAGTTAGAGGCCAGCCTGGGCTACTGGGGCTGGGGATATAGCTCAGTGGCACAGCACCTGCCTGGCAAGCAGGAGGTCCTGAATTCCTGGTACTGCTATCCTCCAAAAAAATCATAACCAGCTTGGGCTACAAAGTGATTTCAGGTCCTGAACTCCATAGTGAGACCTATCTCAGAAAGATAAAAAAGACTAAACGAAGTCTACTGGTATATTTTGGGTACACATAATGATCATACACCTCTGATCCTTCACTCCAATCTCAGGAACAGTTGTTCTAACTACCCTGACCTCTGTTTCTGGTGAATTATCACCACGGGCTTTTCTGAGGGACAACCAGTTAACCACTTCAAGGAAGCTACTGGGACAGCAGGAGGGTGCAGGGAAGCAGGAGCCTGACGCTCCACACCGTGCCATTCTGCTCTGCGGCACTCCACTCCTGGCTTCCTGGCTCCACAGCCCCACTCCTTCCCGCCCAACCTGGCCTTCTACCTTAGTCAACCAGCCTTTCACGACGGGCTTGGCGCCCTCCTGAAGCAGGGCCGGAGGCCCCATGGCCTGCACCTTCAGCAGGCTCTGCAGGACCCAGATCCACTCCTCCAGCAGGCTAGGCGACTCGGCCATCAGGTAGTAGGTTTTCTTCTCAGAGATGAGCTACAGAGGGTGAGGCGCTGGGTCAGCACAGCCAGGTAGGTTCCTGGGGTGGCTCAGAGTCCTGAACCCACCAGGCCTTCCTTCTCTGGAGTCTACAGCTGTCTCCCTTTTGTCCTCCTCACCTTTTCCTGTCTTTCCTAGTTTCTTCCCACCCCTCATCTCCCACCCCCATCTCTCCTGCTTTCACTCCATTTCTCACATTCTGCTCCTTTCTTGAACTCAAAATCCAGGACCACATCCTGATGTGGATTTGAAATCTTTCATTCATGTTCATTTTGCTGTATCTTTGTTTTAATCATGGTCAGATTCCAAACTGGTGCCTCATCTGTCTATAAATCAGTCTAAAATACCAAGGTGGCATAGCCTTCGGTTTTGGCACTAGGGGAGGCTGAGGCAGAGCAAGCCTAGCTGAAATAACTTGACAATTTAGTGAGAAACTGTCTCGAAATAAAAAGTGGGCCAGAGACACGGCTCAATGCCGAGGCCCTGGGGTCAATCCCCAATACCAAAGCAGAACAAAGCAAACTCAGCAGCTAGGAGCAGGCTCACCTGGAATGTCTGTGCACCCTCCCCACAAACAATTTGGCAATGAGAGTTCAGGTCCACTTGACCTTGAGGTTTCAGGATCACATCATTCTGTAAAGAAAGGAATGGGTAGGAAAGTGCTGCAGAGGTTCTCGGAGCACACCATTCACCCTTCATGCCTTACTCTAGGTCACAGGCCAAGGGAAAAAGATTCTTGTGCATCCCAGACTCTGCACAGTGGATAACTTATTCTAGATTCTGATTCTAGCTAAATGGAGCTGTAAGCAGATCTCATGTCCTTCAGGCACAGGTCTCACAAAGGTCGGCATAAGCCTTTCCAATTAGGTCAAAAGCCACCAAGTTATTACTGACCTACAAGGCCTTAAATTCTTTCTACTAAGCAAAGGCATGATGACACATGCCTACAGTCCCACAATCCCACTTACTCAGGAGGCTGAGCCCAGGAGCTGAAGACTGACCCAGGCAGCCAAGTAAAACATCTCAAACAAATAAACAGTCCACTACAACTTCGTATTAAGAATGGCAAATAGGTAGTTTGTGTATCATTCTACTGTCAGTGCAGACATGACTAATTGATCACAGCATGCTTCTCACAGAGAAATACAGATCAAGAATCCCTAACATAGAGTTGGAAACAGCTGCTATCAAATAGCTGGAGGTCGACAAGAGAAGCCCTTTTTGCCTTCTTTACAGCATTAAACTTGGCTCTCAGTCGGGCATGGTGGTGCATGCTGATAATCTAAGCACTCGGGAGGCTGAGGCTGGCAGATCACAGCGAGTTTGAGGCCAGCATGGGCTACATAGTGAGTTCAAGGACAGCTTGAACTATACAGCAAGACTGTCTCAAAAAACCAAAAAAATTAGACAGATATTTAATAAAAGGGAATGGGCATGATGCTCAATAGTACAGCCCCCTTGGGTTTGATCCCCAAGTAGGGAAAAAGGAAGGAGTGGGAGGGAAAGGAAAGGAAAGAGAGGGAAGGAAAGGAGGAGGAAGCAAGAAGAAGACACAGCGGCTTCTGAGAGAGCAAACTGCTAAGCCAGTCAGCCTGGAGCTGCCCAGCTGCCCGCAGTCAGCAGGCTGGCAGCCTTGGGGCCCAGGCAGGTGGCTTCTCCCCAGTGACCTCTGGCCTCCCCAAGCACCTCTGACCAGTCTCAGGGAAGCCCTCACCGGGGACTTGTAGTACATCATCTGTCCCTGTCGCAGGACGAACCAGCGCCTCTTCCATGTCTTCACGCGGCTCCCCATTTTCAGCAGGTAACCTGACTTTTCCAGTGAGTCCTGAGGGTGCAGGGGTACAGGAACAGAGAGAGACAGGGAGTCAATGGGTGCCCCTGGGCTGAGCTCCTACTATGGGTACTCCTTTCTGGGCCTGTGCCCCACTGAGGGTTCAGAGAGGAACAAAGGCCTCACTGGACTGAGGGCTCCTGTGGGGGTAGGGGGGTGGTGGGGACAACACCCAGCTGTACGAGGGAGGGCTGGTCAGGATGGGGTACAGCCAAGAGCTGGCCCCCAAATGGCCCTAGACAAAAGTGTCAGAGGAGGCACTGTGGATGAGGCAGCAGGTGGGCCCTGGGGAGCCAGGAAGGGCTTGGGGTGGAGCCTGCTAGGGGTGCTGCTCCCAGGCATGGGGCACACATTGCTGGGCTCAGGCTTCTTACAGGGCCTGAGGGTCCAATCCCCTAGGGCCACCTCGGTTGCCCCAACACACTCACCCACCCTGCTTACCGTGCCCAGGCCCAGCCCGCCAGAGTAGCAGGAGGTGCGCTGCATTTTGTGCTCGGGCTCAGAGTAGTCACTGTCCAGTGAGCAGGCGTCCGGAGGGATGGCGTAGTCACCCTCAGAGCTCAGCGAGGACATGGAGACTCCTGGCCAGAGGAACAGGAATCAGGGCTCTCCCCTGCCCCAACACCCAGGCCCAGGGGCTGCCAGGGCTTCACCCCTGCCCTCAGGATCCCCCAGGCAGGGGCTGAGAATGGATCCACCGGGTGCCAGCCCCTCCCCACCCCCTCAGTACCTCTCTTGATGGCCCGAGGGCTGCCCAGGCTGCTGGTCTTCCTGCACTCAGAGCAGGGTACAGACACCCGGAAGCTCACCAGAGAGCTGCAGTCATCCTCAGAGCCCGAGGACTCGTCCCCAAAGGGCATGCTGCTGATCTGTGTGGCTTTCTGCAAGGCAAGGAGACCACGCCTTGCTGTAGCCCCGGCTGAGAACCCCCCCCCCACACACACACGGGTCACCGCCCGGCTAGGGCACCAAACAGACCCACATGGTGTACAGTCCTTCTCGCCTCACTCGGGGGTCCCTGCGTCCCTGCTCTTCCCTGGGCCTCTGCCATCTGTACACCACCTCCTGTGGCCCCCAACAGCTGTCCCTGCAGGCTGAACTCCCACCTGCTGTGGCCTCACTCGCTGCATGAGCAGGCCAGGGTGCAGGCCAGGAGCTCTGCAAGTGCCTAGGTGGGGTATGGAAATATGGAGGCATCTTCTTGCATGGCCAACATCAGAAAGGTCTGATTACCTCAAGGTTGGTGACAGTATGAGGAGCTGCAGGGAAACACCCTGTAGTGTGGCCAAGCACTTGTATTTATGTGTTTTTTTAAAAATGTGTTTGGCCTGAGTGGTGGCGCAGGCCTGCAATCTCAGCACTCTGGAGACTGAGGAAGGAGGACTGCCACAAGTTTGAACAACCTGGGCTACATAATAAGACTCTGTCTCAAAGGGAAAAAAAGAGAGAAGAAAATATGAAGGACAGAGAACAAAAATCAGTACAAAGGCCCCGGGTTCAACCCAGGCGATGTGCTGAGGACGTGCCCAAATCCTCAACCTTTGTGTCATTTTCCCAGAAATTCCACCTCTGGTGTCCCATAGCACACAAGCACATGCATGCACCACGATGTTCACAGCAACATTTATTTTAGGACCGATGAGGACACGGCCCTTTGGGGCACGGCTGTGGTGCCCTCAGGGGTCCTTCCGGGCAGCGTGCAGAGGCACTGACATGGTCACGGGAGCGGTCAGGGAGGGCACAGAAGGGCCCCTGTGTTTCTGTGGTGCTGGGGATTGAACCCAGCGCCCTTACACCGGCCTACAGCCCAGACGTTAACTCATGTACTTATTTATAGACAAGCTGTTCCTTCTCACTAGGTTGCCCAGGCTCGGCTCAAACCTGCAATCCTACTCCGCTCCCCCGAGGGCTGGGATTGCAGGTATGTGATTCTACGTGTGGCATGGGATGCCCTCTGTGTGTAACACAGACACACATATGCAAGAGAATGAGGGTGGACAGAAGGAGAGAGAAAAGGGCAAGGGCAGAAAGTGGGCCCAAGTCTGTACACACGCGTGTGCCACCTTTTTGTAAACACCTCAGAGACCCTTATGGAAAAAAAGTACCAAACCATCCCTGACTGTTACCGCTAACATTAGGAAGCAGGAAAAAGCAACATGAGAAGAGATTTCACTTTTGGCCTCTCATTTTTCTTAGTTTTTGGTCTCTTATTTTTACAAGCTTTGCCAAGTATTACTAAAAGCGTTCAAAAACCATTTAAAAAAAAAAAAAAGGTAAAAATTATGTATGAAAACATGACATGGCAGTTATATCTGATCTTTGTCTTAAAAAGTGTAACAATGTTAGGAGAATATACGTCTTGATATAGACACTCTGGGAGAAGCCCCTGATCTCCAGGGCCTGAGGAGTGGGCCAGGCCGCATAAGATGGGGGTGGGGGGCACAGGCCTACCCTTTGATTTCTTACCCTGCCCACACTCATGTGAACTTGGATTTCTATAAATGCAGAATTTTTATGACCCAAATGATAACTGGTAAACGACTTGGGGGGAGGACCTGAGCTCCCCCTGGGGCCCTCAAGCAACCCCCCAGGCAGCGCAGGCCAAGACAGAGCCCCTCCTGACAGGGTCGGCCCATCTCTTGGCACGGTGGTTTCTTACCCCTTTCAGTGCTGTGTAGACCGGCACGGTGACCTTCTTGTAGACAAGGCCAGAGAAAGGGCCAGGGCACACAAGGGCAGGAGGGCTTGCAGCTGAGGAGAAAGGGGCAGGGTGAGGGAACTCAGGTCCCACAACCTGAAGGGAGATGCAGCGTCTTTCTCACCTCTGCTTCCTTCCTCACAAGGACATGAAGGGCCACAATGGCCACACAGTCAAGCCCATCACAAGGAGAACCCAAGTCTTGCCGTTTCCTTCCCCAGCTGCAAGGCACACAGTGTGTCCTGCTCCTGCTGAGGAGAGTCAGGACCCGTGTGCCCTCAAGGGCCTGCTGCTGTGGGACTGGCCGGCGCCCAGGAGCCAGCCCGCAGAACGCTTGGGCATCTGGGCCCTGGGGGCCTCCCACCCCTTGCCCTCCCCACAGGACGCCGGGCTGTGGTTCTGCCCTGATTGCTGCCCCGCTGGGCCAACTCTGCTGAGCAGAACCTGTGTGGCTTCTGCCAAGAACCTGGAGGCTTGGGTGGCCAAGCCCACTGCTCTCTCCTGGTGGGGACCTGAGTGTGGCATAGACTCCCCCTCCACGCTTGCCCACCCTGCCACCCAGCGCCTGGGGGCCTCCAGCCTCACTCGAACTCACCAGAGCAAGCGGCACTGCTTCGTGGACAAACATCTGACACCTGCATGCCTGAGGTCGCCACAGCATAGATGCGGCTCTCCTGGAAAGAGAGCGCCCAAGAGGTCAGGGCCAGCACTGCGCCTACCACAGCCCCACGGGGAGCAGAGGGAAAGCCTGGCTCTGCAGAGGGGCACAGCGGCACCACAGCAGGACTCTCAGGCATTTCTTCATTCCCAAGCCCCCCTTTCCTCAGCTCTCACACAAACAGTGCTGACCTTCAGGAGGCTGCTGTGGAATCAGGCTAGAGTTAAGGGCAACACTTAAGACCTGGATGGAATGCGTGCCCAGCAGAGCCATTTCATCCCTGTCCTCAGGGGCAGAGGAGGCTGTCTCAGCATCTACCCACGCAGAGGCCTGTGGGCTCAGGCCCCACCCCTGACGGGGCAGTGTTGATGAGGAAGCCAAATCCCATGCTGAGAGCAAGCTCTCTCACAAGCCAGCTGCTGAACTTGAGAACCTAGGACACAATGTCTCTCTACAAGAATCATACAAAATCAGGACTGGCTTCCGGGCCCACCTATAAAGCCTACTTCATCCATGTGGGCTCAGGAACCCTGCGAGCGTCCTGACCCCGAGGGTGTGCCCAGGTCTGCCTCAGCCCCCGGGCCTGGCGAGCTCTGATCCTCAGCTAGGCCCAGGCCAGGCAGAGCTGTCTGTCCACTTGTCCTCGAGGAAAAACAGATGCCAGTCTGGTGACCAAGAGTCAAGGGCTGGCCTGGGAGCTTGCAGGCCTGTGGAGGAGGAACTGGGGACAGCTGAGCTTCAGGACTGCATACTGGGGAGTGGGCCCAGAGCTGGGGGACAGAGGAGGGACTAAGGCTGCATCAGGACTGGGGAGGCAGTGTGAGGGTGCTGGTGCCTCTGTGAGGCAGCTAGCTGGGGTGCACGTGATGGTTAACACTGGGCATAGAAAAGACTGTGTCCACAGTGGTTCTGGAATTAAACCAAGGACAGGCTCTGACTTCACAAAGGAAGTGAAACTTAAGCTTGAAGGGCTGAAGCTAAACAAAAGCAAGCACTGTTTGGTAAAAGGTATCCAATGCCCACCTGGAAAGGCTGTTTTTAAGGACCAAAAGAAAAAGGGCTCTCCAAACTCTAAAGGCAAACAACAGACTGGACACCTTGGAAGCCCCAGGCTGTGATTCCCTGGTGGTCTCTGCCCAGGGCTCTCTGACCACCATGGCCTTGGTGGCTCCCCAAACCCATACAGTAAGGATCGCCCCCTCCCACAAGGGTGTCTGACAAGCTGGCACCGTGTGACAGAGTGAAGACAGGGAATAGCGTCCTTAAGCTGCACCGTCGGATTCCAGAGAAAGGGAGCACGTAGGGAGAGACCTGATGTTGTCCCCCAATGCCTGAATGAGTGGAGCTGAGACTCATTCAGCCAATGTCACTTGAAGCATTTGTTTTTGCAGGTTTCTTTTTCTTGCTGTTACCTAGCCTGGTCTTGAACTACTGAGTCAAGTGACCCTCCTGCCTCAGTCTCCCAAGTGCTGGAACTACAGGTATAGTCCACAGGTGTACCGAGTCTGGCTAAGGCAATTTGTATAAATTTCTCCTCTCCTCTTCTCTCCCCCTCTGCTGTCAGTCACCACTGTAGCTGGCGGTGTCTTGGCACCTCACGATAACACTTGCTGAGCCCTCCTGCCCCAGCTCTGGCCTAGATGGTGCCTTGTTCACCCCACTGCTGCTGACAGTTCCAGAGACAACCACAGGCACCCTGCACCTGCTGCCGCCATGGGTTGGTGCTGTTCCTCCCCACAGCAGCATCTGGTCTCATCCTGAGTAGCAAGCTCAGTGCCTCTACAGTGTCCCATCCTACCAGTGCTGGGCTCCAAGGAAGGCTGGTCCACTGCTAACTAATAGGACACCTCATGCGGGGACAGCAGTTTGCATCTATCACGGGAGACCCAGGCCCAACTCACACAGGCGGCGATCACACTTGCTAGGCTCTGTGCCAACCCCTTCAAACCCAGGTCACCCTTGCCACTGCACTGTGAAGCAGATTAACACTCTGCCCTGCCCCCTTTTCATTTTAAATCACAGAAAACATGGGATACAAAAATAAGAGGAACAAGCCAGGTGTAGTGGTGCACACCTATGGTCCTTGCACTCTGGAGGCAGAGGCAGGAGGATCGGAAATTCAAACTCAGCCTGGGCAACTTAGTGACTTACTAAGACCAAAATGTGCTGGGGTTATAGCTCAGTGTGAAGGCCCCAGGTTAGCTCCCCTGAAGCAAGAAAAGAAAACTGAAGTGAAGTAGAGCCAGGCAAGGCAAAGCAAAGCAAAAAGACAGAAAAGAAAGACCACATATGATTTCCTGTTCCGTGGCCCCGCGTCCCTGCACCAAAGCCTGCTCTTGTTTCCCCTGCATCCTCTATAGGGTAGCAGACCCTTTTATCCAGGTTACAGGAAGGCTAAGGCTCAGAGGCACAGCCAGCCAGCCCCTGCATATCACTGCCTGGCAAGTTCATTAGTTACCAATACTTTTAATCCTTGTAGTGGCCTTGTAAATGGGGACCACTAATGTCCCCATTTTACAAAGGGAAACTGAGGTACTGGGGTTTAGGAACCTACCCAGGGTCACACAGTGAACAGTCGAACCTTAGTGGCTCAGTACTGGGACCTGCCTCTTAGCCACTACGTGCAGTCAGATCTCAGAGTCACAAAGATGAAATGAGGAAACACGCACAGGCGCTGGCCCGGCGGGTGGCATACGGGGAGTGCTCGGTTCACCAGCATCCCTTCGGATTCCGGCTCTGCCCCACACTGGCTGAGTGGGACAGGTAGGCTCCCTGGCGCCAGCCTGCCCGCGCTGCGGTGTGGATGCCAGCTTCTGCTCAGGCTCAGCGCAGGTGCCTGCTCCCTTGAGTTGTCAGCATGACTGGGCTAACATACACTAACGTCACAGTGAATATGCTGGTAGGAGGGGGCGCCCAGGTGGCGGCCGTACCCCCAGGCTGAGCCCTTGGGAACAGATCTCTCTTGGCTCCTCTGTACCCTTCCACCCGAGGTTTGGACTTCCAGGCAGCTGACACCTCTGGAACCGTGGGCAGACAAAACCCTTTCTTCAAGCTGCATTGGGTGTTTGGTGCCTCCGTGAGAAGCTGACCAATACAGCACTGCCTCTTACCCAGGAGGGAAACCGGTGCAGGGGTGGTGGGGGTGGCTTGTTCCCCAGCTTCCCTTCTGCCAACTGAGTGCTGGGCGCCATCAGGCTCTCCTGTTCCTCCTCCTTCCTTGCTGCAGGGAGCTCCCCCATCTCCATCTTCTCTGGTTCTTCCCGGAAGTCAGCACAGGTCTCTGGCTTCGAAAGGCCAGATGGGCGGAGGGTGGACAAAGCCCCAGTGTCAACACCCACCACATCCTCACAACGCCGGGGTCCGATGTGGGGCTGACTGTGGTGCCTTTTGGTGAGCTGGACACTGTCCTGGGGAAGGTTGGGAGCCCGCAACTTTGGAAGCGTCAAACTGCTGCCAGGGCCGCCTTCCCGGGAAGAGGCTTTGATGCCAGAGAGCACCCTCTCCTGAGCAGTGACCAGGCCCTGCCCCCAGGAGGCAGAGCCAGGTCTGGGGGCTCCGGGCTTTGGGCACAGCTGGCTGGGAAAGTGCTCGTGTTCCACGTGGGGTAGAAGCACCTTGGCCTCTGCCCTTTCCTCAGGATAGAATGGCCTGGAATTAGAACCTTCTGCAGGGCTGCTGGCCTCAGACAGAAAGCCTTTGCCCTCGGGAGCATCCAGAGAAGGTGCAGGAGTGACCACTCTCAAATCCAGGGCCTGGGAACCATTGTCCGGCCCCACAGACTGGGTTCCTGGCTCTGCAGGTGTAGACTCTGGCTCTGAGGCTCCCTCAGGAGCTGCCAGCAGCCTCCCCGGGGGCTCCACTTGCTGGGCTGGGGTGGGGCAAAAGCAGGACAGTGAGAAGGTGCTTTACTCTGCTCAGGCCCACCACACACTCCCCACCCCCACCCAGGTACATACCCCTACACACACCTACATCCCCCATACACCCCCATGTACACACACCCCCATGCGCGCACATGCACACACTGGCCTACCTTCCAGCGCAGCCTGAAGGGTGCCCACCTGCTCCATCAGGTGCTGATTACAGCTTTTCAGGTGCTGGTTCTCCATCTCAAGCTGGGGAAAAAAGATTTAGAGGCTGGGGGTGTGGCCTAGAGGTAGGATCCTTCCTAGGTCAAGGCCCAGGGCTTGATTCCCAGCATTATAATGAAGGAAAGAAAATGGAGATTTAGAATACACAGCCTCTGCAGGTTCGGACATGTAACTCAAAGTAAGATTAAAGCCTTTGGAAAAGGGCACATGGTGTCCTCCCTGCCTGGTGCTGCCCTCTGGGAGCCCTCGCCTTTTCCTTCCCTTATGCCAGCTGCTGTGGGGTGAGTCAGAATTCTCCTTAGAAAGGCCTGCACTTCTCTTTTTTGATGGTTTCTGGTTTTGTTTGGTTGATTTGTCTTTTTCTTGCATCGAGGATTAAACCAGAAGGTGCTGAGCTACATCCTAACCCTCTCCTTCTTCATTTCAGTCAGTTTTGCTACCGTCCACATCAGCCTCAAACTTTTGATCCTCCTATCTCAACCTCCAAAGTAGCTGGGATTACAGGTGTGCACCACCACACCTGGCTTATTAATCCTTCTAAAATTGTGAAATTTAACACCCAGAGCTGTATCCTGTATCAATGAGCAGCTGAACAAATGATTCTGAAACTACTCCTTAGAGGGCCAATACCCAGCTTAACAGGTAAAGGCTGGAGCTGGGCAAGGCGGTACATACGTATAAGCCCTGTGCTCTGGGAGGCTCAGGCAGGAGGATCCCAGGTTTGAGCCCTGCTTGGATAACTAAATAAGATTTTGTCTCAAAATAAATTTAAAAAAAAAAAAATTAAGAAAGGCTAAAGATATAACTTGTGTTCAATTCACAGAATCAGAAGTAATAATAACAAAGTGTTAACAGCTGGGCATGGTGGCAGCACTCTTCCTACAATCTCAGCCCTTGGGAGGCCGAGGCAGGAGGAGTGCCACGAGTTCAAGGCCAGCCTGGGCTACACAGCAACACTTGTCTCAGCCCCCCACCGTCAAATGCAGTAACAGCCAGCACCTGCACAATCAAGCCACCCCCACTAAAGTTACAGCCTTCTGAGCGCGCCACACTCCCTGTCGCACTTGCTGGGCTTCTCAGTCGCAGCAGGGCTCCCCACACACTGCTGTAGGTGTGCCCATTCCTGAACTTTGGCTAAGTCAAAAAATGACCCAGTGTGTGCCCCTCCAAGGCTGTTTTCTCTTGCTTCATCGACCCCCTATGAAATCTACTCTCAAGGAAACTGCATTTTCTTTTTTTTTTTTCCTTTGAATCCCCCCCCCTTTTTTTTTACTCTGCATTTTCTTTTGAAATCAACCTAGCGTACTCACTGAGGCCCTGTTCTCGAAGGCCTCCTGGGGCAGTGGTAATACAGAGGCCAATGGGCTTCAGCTCTGTCCCCAGGACCTGCAGCCCAGCAAGCCACCTGACATGGGAGGCCGCCCAGGTCCGGGCCCTCCTCCAGAACTGGGCCACCCTCTCCACACAGGATAGAGCCAGGAGGTGTGTGACCATTCCTTTCCAAGCTGCAGGCCCTTTCTTTTGTTTAGGAGGCTAGATTGCATTGTTTTGTTTCTGTTTTTGCAGCACTGGGGACTGAACTGAGAGCATTTGCACTGTGCTACATTCCAACCCTCCTCCCCCTTGGGGGAGTCACTTATCTGCCTAGTCTAGACTGGAATTTGGGATTCTCCTGTTTCAGCCTCCCAGGAACACTGCAAATTTAGGTGTGCACCACCATGACCAGTGGCTTTTTGACATCACCATGACAGCTTCCAGCCCGAGCTTCTTAGTACAGACAGGGTATACAGGGTCTCACTGCGTAGATCAGACTCAGTGATCCTCCTGTTTTCAGTCTTCCAAGTGCTGGGATTACAGGCCCATACCACCACACCCAGTCTCAATTGCTGCCTCAGAGGACCCCAGGGGCGAAGCTGGCACTGTACACTGGAATCCAATCCCAGTCCCTGCATCTGTCTAAGCAGGCGCTTTAATCCACTGAGCTATCTAGTAGGCCCTAGCCCTGAGCTTCTTAAACACAGTAATAGCAGCTTATCAACTACAGAAATAAATGGAGAGGAAAAGGGAAACAGAGGCTACCAGGTACTGGGGGAGTAGGGCACAGATCAGGGGTCAGTGGTTGGTGAGCTTTGGGGAAATAAGTTCTGGAAACAGCGGTGATGGCTGCATAACACTTGGGCTTTATAAAGACAATAGAAAGGATAAATTTTATGTCTATTTTGCCACGTTTTTAAACATTAAAAAGCCTCGGCCAGGTGGGTCAATAGGACAGCACTCAAGACACCTCAGTTGGCCTTGGAGAGCCAGCACCCCACTCATCCCCGTGGTGTCCCCACCATACTCTGGACTAGGGTCAGTGGGGTACAGAGAACCTGTCATCCTGGGAAACGGGGTACTGAAAAGGAGGCATCCTCTTGCCCGGCACCTGGCAGGGACACCAGGCACCCATCAGGGCAGGGAAAGTGAACAAGTGGGAAGCGGGCGCCAAGCCACCATAGATGTCCTGCTTGGGGTGGGGGTTGCCTATGCCGACAAGGGCAGTAAACACAGGGTTTGTAAACAAACAAAATGAATAAAGTGTAGGCAAAGTAATTTTTAAAAAGAAAAATGAACACTATAAAAGCAAAGTGAAGAAAAACAGAGGACAGAAGAGAAGGGCAGTGGACAGACAGTGCTCTGAGACTGCTCCTGGAGGGGAAAAGGAGGGGCCCAGCCAGAAGGGACTCATGCCTTCTCTCCAGACTCACAGCCAGCACAAAGCCAGTCAGGAGTGCCAGGCAGAAGGAACTAAAGCACGTGTCCTGGTGTCTAAACTGGACAGAGAGCAAGTGCTTGACAAAAAAAGGGCGGGCGAGGATCCTCCCAGGAGGCAGGGAGCCCCGGAAGGAGGGACCCCGCCCCGCGCTCTCGGGCCAGGCACCCAAGGGTCTCTGACTCACCTCTGTCAACTTCAGCGCCACCCACTCCTTGATCTTTGCAGCTTTTTTTTGAACGCTTTTTGCTTCCTCAGCTCGCATCTGCTTCTGTGAGAAAGATGGGGGCTTCAGTTAATCACAGTGTCACAGGCGGAGTGAATAACTGGAAGTGGGAAACCAAGGGAAACATCGAGCGACTGAGGGAACGGAACAGCCTCAAAGAAAAAGAATGGTTACATTCTTACAAACTCCTAAACAATATAAATCCCAAAGAGCCACAGAGGAAAAGACTACTAAATCTACATCATGGCTATAAGTTACTGCATAACTGAAAATAAGAGAATCCCTTAAAACAAAATCAAAAGGCCCGGTGGGGAGGATTTACAACACAAATTACTCATACGAAGGGCTATTTGAAATGAACAATCCAATACCAGCAAAGGATGTGAACAGGAAACAGAAAAACATTTAAAAACACACAAAAGGGCCAGCCAGATAGCTCAGCAGACTAAGTGTGCATTGAGCCAGCCACCAAGTCCAGGCATGGTGGCACACATCTGTAATCCCAGCACTGGGGAGAATGAAAAACAAGAGGATCACTATGAGTCCAAGCTGCACGGTGAGACCCTGTACCAATCACATGAAAAATAAAAAGACACACACACATACACACAGAGAATAGAAAGCACTGCTCGGATTAGCTGGGACTTCAAGAACATACACTTAGAAAAAGAGCCGCTGAGCCGGGCATGGTGGTACACACCAGTAATCCCAGCACTTGGGAGACTGAGGCATGAGGATAGCTGTGAGCTCAAGACCATCCTGGGGTACACAGTGAGTTCAAGGCCACCTTGGAACAGAGAGTGCTCTGGCCAGAGGGGACAGCTGGACAAATGAGAATGGCAGAAGGCAGGGCCAGAGCTGGGATGGCTTTGTTCGAGATGGTGGGGGTAGGGGCTGAGCAGGATGCGAGGTTTGAGGCCAGCCTGAACAGCCCAGGAGCCCTGTGCCCACAGGGGCAACCTGGGGAGCTAGCACTGCTGTGATGTCAGCGCTGGGCAGCAGCCCCTCCCAGGATCCCACACGCTCAGGAGAGGCCTGGATTTTCAGAGGACGAGCCCACACTGGCTTCCGCCTGCTCAAGTTCATTGAGAAACTCTGGAAAAGGGCCAAGCAAGGCTGACCAGCGACCTGTGCTGCTGCAGTTGCCTGCTGTGGTCGTGCTCTAGCCAAGCGTCACACAGCACGTGCTGGCTGGACACAAGGCGGATGCAGACAGGGAACAGCTCTCTGTACCAAGCACTGACCACACGCGAGATGCTGCACACAGCTTACCTGGCTGACTTCTCCCCAAAGCTCTATGAAGTATTGTAACCTCTATTTTATAAACAGAAGATGAGAAACAGTGACTAACTTTTGAGACAGGGTCTCGCTCTGTAGTGCAGGCCGGCCTTGAACTGTATAGCCCAGGCTGGCCTTGCACTAGCTGCAATCCTCCTGCCTCAGCCTTCCCAGTGCTGGGCTTGAGAGTAACGGACTTGAGCAATATGCCCATGGGCAGAGCGCAACAGGTGCCAGGAGAGGGATTCACCCCCAAACAGTCCGTGCTCACTTCGGCAGCACACACACTAAGACTGGAACATCCGCCAGCGAGGTGTTTTTGCCTCTACATCCCCTGCTAGAATCTCCTGATAATTAAATCTCCATATAAAACAACAGGTGGGGAGGAAGCGCTCCCGCCAGTGAGCCAGGGCTCCAGCAAAGGGGCTCGGAGGCTGGGGACCGACGGCGCAGATGTGGGGCAGTGGTGCCCACCTGCTTCTCCAGCTGTGCCTCCAGCTGGCCGATGAGCTCCACCTTGGCCTGCATGGCTTTCAACAACTCCTGGTATTTCCGGTGCAGGCTGCCTGCGGAGTCCACGTTCCTAAGACTGCACAGTTTCACCTTCTCTTCCATCACGCCCACCTGAAAAGCACCAATGACCTAGTAAGGTTCACACCACTCATGCCATGCATACCACACCCAATGAGGAGGCTGCCAGCCAGAACCCTTACCCACAAGGGCTTGGGCCAGTTGATGAAGTGAACTTTCGTTAGGCTTCTGTGTAGGCAAATGAAGGAACTGACAAGGGAGAAATTAAGTTTGGCTATTCTGAAAAGACCAACTAGGTCTTGGGCCATCTAATTCATCTGCTTAGCCTGAGCTGTGGAATTCGCGTCACCAGTGTGTGCAGAATAGCAATGTTATGTCGCTTCTGGGCTGAAGCGCACACACCTCCAGCCTGATCCTGTCCTGGCAGCTACACAGTTTGTGGGCTACAGAGCAAGACAGAAGAGCTCCTGAAGTGACAGGGGAGCACATACACTGGCTAGGCCACAGCAGGTGGGCACATGTGTGAGAACTATAGGCGATGAGCCACTTATCCCACCCATGGCATTGCGTGGCCCCTGTGGATTCTTCTGTGTACTGATTGGGCTGACCTAACCCAAGGACTTCTGCATTTACACAGAAAGCTCCCTGTACCTGAATTTGTTCTGAGACACACTTGGCCTTTCTGTCCTTGTGAGGTGCTTCGCAGTGAGGAGCAAGTGTCCACATGTGTCTCTGGCAGGAGCAGGCACTGCCCTACCTCGCACTAATCCCCTTCCTTTACCTGGGTCTCTGCCTTCTCCGCTCGCTCCTCAGCCTCCAGCAGCCTCTGCTCCAGTTCTTGCATCTGCTCAGACAGAGAGAGAGAGGCAGGAAAGATTAGGAGCCGCCTCTGACCACAGTCTTAGCACCACGGAGCAGAGCACGCAGACAGACCCTCAGGCTCAAGGGTGTCAGGTGGAGATTCCCTATCTGAGTGGCTTAGGGCAGAGGAAGAGCTACAGGGGCTGAGAAAGCAACAGCCCCTCTCTTGACCCTATGCAGAAGGTAGAAAGGGCCAGGCACAGGCACCCACATTCACTGTCCTTCCCATCCTATGGGATTTGACAATCATGAGTGACCCCGGTGTGGTATCATAGGCCTATCATGCCAGTGCTTGGGATGTGGAAGCAGGAAGAAGGACCAAGCTCAAGGCCAGCATGGACTACATGCTGAGTTTGAGTCCAGCCTCAACTATATAGTGATGTCCTGTCTCCAAAACTAGCAAGAAGAACACAAGGAAATATTGAATGGAAGAGCCTGGGGCTCTCAAGTTTCCTAGATGGACCTCCAGCCAAATACCTGCTCTGCAGCTCGAAAGACCTGAGGCATCCCGAAGAAATGATAATTCGCACTCATGACCGTCTGCAACCAACATTCTGTATTTCCTCAGAGGAAAACACTTGTCTTCCTATTCTGAGATGGAGACCAAGGCGGAGTGAAGAATAAATCTGGTCTCACTTTCGAGCTGGCCATCTTCACTGAGGCCAAGAATGGCCAGTGACACTGGCCTAAGGCGGACCTCTGCCTGTGAGCTCCCTGACCACCCTGCAGCGTGATCCTCTGCACCAGGGCCCGCGCCCAGCAGCTCCTGGCTACTGCTGCTCCTGGTCACTCCTGTCCTCTGGCCATGGACAGCTGACACTCAGGCTTGCTGTGCTCACTTCCATGCTGCAGATTTTTCTCTGGACCTAGTTCCTGAACACTGAAATACTGAATAGCTACAACTGTTTTAGAAAAGCACCGTCAGTGTCTGTGTATCACTACTGCCCTCAACAATAATCATTCTGCCATCCTTGCTTCAAGAATGTATTTTCTTTTTCTTTTTTGGTGGAACCGGGGATTGAACTCAGGCCCTTGCACTTGCCAGGGTAGCACTTATTCTACCGAGCCATCTCCCTGGCTCCTAAAGAGTGTATTTTCAACTTCATGTTTCCCTTGTGTTTCTTTGTTGTTGTTGTTGTTGTTGTTTGGTACCAGGAATGGAACTCAGGACTTGGTGCTGGTCAGGCAGGCTCTTGCCTGCTGAGCTATCTCCTCGGCCCCATTTCTCTCATTCTTATGAAAATGAATTCTCTACTGCTGCTGGAGCACACCCAGCGGTGTCCTCCGCCTTTTTAGTTTTCACCCCACTGGACCCGTCTCTCGGGCAGACCCTGTAAAGGGCCCCCCACACAGGTCTCTGACAAGCAGCGTTGTGGGTGGGCCACCCTCGTTTGCTTCCCTCAGACCCTGTCCTCAGCTGTCCTCCTTGCAGAAGGTCCAGGTGACATCAGCCAAGGAGGCTTAGGGAGTTGGCAGGGATCTGCCTTCACCAGCTGCCCCAAGATCCACAAGCTGCCTCAGAACTGGCAGTGGCAACCTGACGATAGGTAGGTGTCACCAACCTGATATATTCAAGCCCCAAGCCCACAGCTCCTGTCCCACCCAGCGGTGCTGTGACAGAAGGAACAACAAACTCTCCCACCCAAGCCTGCCATGCCCAGCTGTGCTGAGCTGAGAGCCACCTCTGCTCCTGTGAAAAGAGGGCTCAACATTCCCACCGCAGGCAGTGCGTGGCGGCACAAGCCTGGAAGCCCAGCACTCAAGTGACTGAGGCAGGAGGACAGCCATGAGTTTGTGGCCAGACTGGGTTACACAGTGAGACCCTGTCTCAAAAACCAATAAAAAAAAAAAAAATGAATAAATGGAATGCCAAACTTTAAGCTAAGCACAGAGTTACCCAGGCTGAAAACTGCATTTCCCAATCTTCCTTGCAACTGATACATCTATACAATTAATAGTATCTGGCCAGTTCTTCCTGTGAGCGGCCTGAGGTGACCTGTGAAGATGATCTGCTACTCTTTCTGCCCAGAAAGCCCCCCAAAATCATGCAAATCCAGAGGCTCAAATCTTCACGTTCAACTTAAGAACATGCATGAAACTGCCAGGCCATCAAGGGTATGCATATCCAAAAGGCCACTAAGTATCTGAAGGATGTCACATTAAAGAAGCAATGTGTGCCATTCCGGCAGCATTACAATGGTGGAGTTGGTAGGTGTGCCCAGGCCAAACAGTGGGGCTGGACACAGGGTCAGTGGCCCAAAAAGAGTGCTGAATTTTTGCTGCACATGCTTAAAAATGCGGAGAGTAATGCTGAGCTTAAGGGCTTAGATGTAGCTTCTCTGGTTATTGAACATACCCAGGTGAACAAAGCACCCAAGATGCGCTGCCGTACTTACAGAGCTCATGGCCGGATTAACCCATCCATGAGCTGCCCCTGCCATATTGAGATGATCCTCACTGAAAAGGAACTGTTCCTAAATCAGAGGAGGAAGTTGAACAGAAGAAAGAGATATGGGGCTGGGGAGATAGCTCAGTAGAATAAACGCTTGCCTGGCAAGCACTTGGGCCTGAGTTCAATCCCTGGTTCTGCTGCAACAACAACAACAAAAAAGATATCCCAGAAGAGACTGAAGAAACAAAAACTTATGGTGTGGGAATAAATTAAGCATAAAATAAATACAAATAATTTAAAAAACAAAACCAGTATCTGGCCAGCGGCAGGGTGCGCACAGGAGGCAGCTCCGCAATGTCTAGTCAAGCGCTTGGAGGGAAGGGTGGGAATGTGCTGCTATCAGTGTGAAACCTCTTCACACAAAGGGCCCTGCCCTGGAGCTGGACTGCTTATCTTCCAGGCGGTTACCCAAGAAAGAAAGAAACATCTGTCTTTTGGCCCAGAGTTATTTTAGGCTCTTTTCACAGCAGCTGAACTATAATCTGCCTAGAACAGAAGGCACTAACTTTTAAAAAATTGATCCTGTCCAGACTCTACCTTGGGAATCTTAGCGTTCACATCTCCCATCCTCGCCATCATCTCTTCAAGCGTGCCTCTTCTCCGATCCAGTCTCGTGGGGGGTGCACAGAGTCCTGTCAGCCCCCGGCCGCTCCTCAGCTCTGGATCTGTGTTTCTCCACGCTGATTTCCTCAGGTCCGCCTTCCATGCAGGACACCAACCTTTGATGCTGCCTAATCTGATGTTGAATCAATCTACCCATTTGTGACCCAGCACTCAGGAGGCTGAGGCAGGAGGATCACTGTGAGTTTGACACCAGCCTGGGCTACATAGTGTGTTCATGGCCTGCCTGAACTACATAGTGAGACTCCATCTCAAAAAAAAAAAAAGGAAAGCTAATTTCAGTGATAACACTTTTTTTTTTTTTTTTAAAGAAGTTTCTAGGTGGTTTTCAAGTTTACTTGCTCTTTTGGGATACTGTCTTGCTGTCTCACGGTTTCAGGGTCTTCCTGTGTCTCCCACAGTTTTGAACACACTTATTTCACTCTCCTGTCAACAGTTCCATCACCGGAATTCCAACGATGGCTGTGGCTGTCGCTCGCTGTAGGCTGTTCCCCCAACCAGGCAATCAGTCTGCATGACAGATCCATCTTCTCCGAGGCTCTTTTCTCTGTGTGGATCCTGTGAGGTCTGGCTTGGGGTCTCCACAGAGAGGTTCTGTGTCCATTCCTAGGCTTCCCAATGGCCCAGAAGCTAGGTTTCCTAAACCACACAGGTGGTATAAATTCTCACGTGGGAAACCAGAATTAGCGTCAAGTTCTGGAAGACTCTTCTTTCCCTTTGCTTTTGCTTTTCTCTATCATGAGGCCTTAACTGAGCACGACAGGCTGCTGCCATCCCCTCACTCAGGTGGGTGCGTGTTTCCCACACTCACCCTTTCACTCAGGATGTGTGCAGCGATAACTACGCCTTTACCGGCAGGCTCAGTTTCAGCTCCTGCCTCCAGGCAGCCGACCCTACTACCCCTGCCCCGGCAGGGCAGAGGCAAACCCCACAGCATGCATTACCAGAGACCAGCGGGCCCTGCCTGCCCTGACCCCCTCGGCCTCACGCTGAGCATCTCTTGGGGTTTCCCCTCTTCATTTGGCTCTTACTCTTCTCAGTCAGCAGTCAGCTCTCAAGGGGATTTTGTTTCATTTTGGACCCTGGTGTTTTTTAAGGGTGTCTGGTAGCCTGGTCTCGCACTCTTTAGCTCAAGCTATCTTCCTGCCTCAGCTCACCAAGTAGCTGGGATAACAGGTGAATACCACTGCACCTGGCTTGTTTATTTGTGCTTTGTAAGCTATTTCTGTTGTTCTTACTACTAGCAACTGGAGTTTCTTCTCTCTGAGTAGATACCTTCTTATCTTTTCCTGCCCTCAGACCCCACCCCCAGTATCACAGCCTAATGCAAGCTTCTCCAACTCTACAGAGTACAGACAATTTGCTGGGAGCCTGGTAAACATGTAGAGCAGCAGCAGCACCCGGAGGAGTGGGCCAAGAGAACTGCACTGGGGGCTGGGGCTGGCCAGGGAACAAACCTGCTTAGCCAGCAAGCACTCCGGGCATTCCAGCCACACCCCCTCCGAGCATCTGACCACACCCCAAGAACCACTGCCTGAGGTCAGCTGCCCTTTTCCCCAGGGGGCTGAATTCTCTGCTTTTCAGGACAGTGTCTGGCAGTACCCACAGCTGTCTGTCTCGCACAGTCTGAAACAGGAGACAGAGAGGCAAACAGAGGCAAGGTCTAAGAGTTCTAGAAGAGGTGAACTGGACATGGCACGTGCCTGTAATCTCAGCACTCCAGAGGCTGAGACAGGAGGATCACTGCGAATTCAAGGCCAGCCTGAATTGCCTAGCAAATCCTGTCTTAGGAAAACCAAATAAAACTTCTAGTACTGACTGGTCCAGAG